GTTGCCTCCACGACCTGACCACAGGTAAACAGCATGAAGATGGATAGAGTTGAACATTTTAGGTTTTAGTTTGACATTTGCTATAATAGTTTATCCATTCAGTGTTTTTGACAGAATGGCATTGTCCATCCATCCATCCATCCATCCATCCATCCGTCCATCCATCCATTATCTTTACCTGCTTCTTATTTTGGGGTCACGGGGCTCACTGGTGCCCATATCTATCAATCACTGTGCGAGAGGCCGGGGACACCCTGGACATGTCTCCAGTCCATCACAGGGACACATAGAGACAAACAAGACAACCATTCGCTCTCTCACTCTCCATCCATCCCTTATCTTTTACCCGCTTCTTCCATTTTGGGTTACGGGGGTCACCAGAGCCCATGTCCAGCAATCATTGTGCGAGGGGCGGGGTACATCCTGGACAGGTCGCACGTCCATCACGGGGACACATAGAGACAAACAACCATTCACTCTCTCACTCTCACCGCCTGGCCAGGATTGGAACCAGCAACCTTCTCGTTGAGAGCCAACAGCTCTACCCACTGAGCCACCATATTTTACTTGTTTAGTTTTTGTTATTGTTTTTAATGCATCATTCGCTTTTCTGTTTATTGTTGATTTACGGAAATTTTCTTTAATAAAGGGGAAAAAAATGATTCTACTCTAGTTTTGGACTTAAACCTTATAACTTCTGGTTTATTTATTTTAACTGTTTGCATGTTTTGCTGCCTCCCTCGGTCTTTCTTTGTAGATCAAACCCTTCAATGAGTTGTTTTGTCCTCTAAATACTAAATGTTGACACTGTTTTCTGTTATTTTGTGAATGTTTATGAAGCATTCACACTATTCTGATCCATTTTTCTTCCGTAGGTTTTTCTGCATCTTTCTCGTTCCACAATTTTTGTGCTATTTCAATAAATCATAAACCAAAATGTTCAGCTCTTTCAGGACAATCCTGCTATGACTTTTGGTATTGGTGCAACTTTATATCTTTTTAAAATATTTAGCCTTTTCGGCCATTTTTAGAATAAAAAATGAATTGAGCTCATTTTACATCCTTCAAACCTTTAATGTGTTTACAACCTTTTACTGCTCCTTTCACATTTTGTTCTGCTTCAGCTTCTTTCAGCTCCCTTCTGCGAATTACATTTTTTTCTGCCAACATCAGCTGTTTTTCAGCTGTTTTGTGCTCCTTTCAAATTCTTTCTGCTAACTAGAACATTTTGGTGCTTTTCTAACTTCTTTCTGCTAATTTCAGCTTGTTACGCTCCTTTCAGCTTATTTCTGCAAGTCTCTGCTAATATTTAGCTGTTTTATGCTAATTTTAGCTTTTTCAGCCAGCACCATAATTTTTCAGTCATTTCAACTTTTTCAGCCGAATTCAGCAAAAATGTGCTCTCTCCACTTCCTTCTGGTAATTTAAGCTTCTTTCTGCCAATTTTTTTGGGTTGCTTTCAGCTGTTTTTTGTTGTTGTTGCTAAATTCAGCTTTTTTCAGAAAATTTCCACTTTTTTCTGCTAATTTCTGCTTCTTTAAACCTAATTGGGCAAGTGTGTTTTTTTCTGCTTTCTTCTACTAATTTCAGCTTGTTCTACCTTTTCAGCTAACTTTTTAGCATTTTTGTAGCTAATTTCAGATAAATTCAAGTTTTATGGTGACTTCTGCTACTTTCAGCTGAAATAACTTTATGCTAATTTCAGCTTGTTATGCTCCTGTCAACTTTTTTCTGCTATTTCAGGTACTGTTTAGCTGTTGTTATGCTAATTTTAGCTTATTCAGCACATTTCAGTATTTTTCAGCCTAATTGAGCAAAATTGTGGTCTCTATACTTTCTTCTGGTATTAAGCTTCTTTCTGCTTTTTAAGCTACTTTTAAGCTATTTTGTTTTTGTATTTTCAGCCTTTTTTAAGCTAATTTCTTAACTTTTGTGCTCATTTCTGCTTATTAGCAAATATGTGTCATTTCTCCTGCTAATTTCTCTCAACCTTGACCTCTCTGTGGCTTTAAACATCTTTTAAATTCCTGGGAAAAAAAACAGAAAAATAATGCATACATGTTCCTGTTTTTAGTTTTCTACCTTACAACCTGTTCTTTTGTTACTTTTCCTATTTTATTTTCACTTGTTAAAAAAAAATAAAAAATTGTACGCATCCTTTATTGTCATCTTTGTCAAAATCATGTCTCTCTTGTAAATGAGTCCCAGAGCCTCAATGGGATTAACCTGCATAAATAAATGTTGAATGAATGAATGAATTTAGGCTTGTTCTCCCATTTCAGCATGTGTTTACTGACATTCAGCTGTTTTTCAGCTACTTCTTCTGCAGTAAGCATGCACACTGCGTTTTCGCAGGAAATGCAGTTTCTCTAGTTTTATTTGCATGCGTGCTCTCGGGTGGCACCGGGCCGGGTGGGGGGTGTGCTTGGACCGCAGCCCGGCTCCTCTCCGCACTCTGCTCCGGGTTTTCCGCGCCTCCCTCGGCGGTGCTCCTCGCAGCCAGCCGCTGGTCTCACTCGGCTCCCGTCCTGATATCACTCCGCTGGTTATGGTGAAGAAGCGGACCTGATTATTGTCATGGTGGCGGCCAGGAGCACTCCGGCTCACACACTTCCGCCCCTGCCTCTCAGATCCGCGCTCTGCGCCGTCTGGGAGTAAAGAACTCCCGGCTGCTTCTCCGCGGGACCACCGCGGGGCTCTTGTCTTCGTCCCCCCCCGCATTTTAGTCGGACTTAGCGAGCGTCTTCCCCGGGATTTCTTTCTTTCTTTCGCTCGTTATGTGAGATGCAAGTTCTCCGGGAAACTCCGGAGCGTGTTCGGCGTAGGCAGCAAAACTTTTTCTCGGAGGACGACACCGAAGGACGGCGAGCGGAGAACCGCCGCTGCTCCGGAGCGGGACGGTTTGTGCGCGTGTGACCGTTCGCCTTTTTTTCTTTTTTTTTTTACCGCTTTTCTGTGGTCACCCCGCGCGCGAGGAGTTTTTGTTGTTGTTTGCTAGCAGCGTGGCAGCGGCTCGAGCTTGTTTTGGTTCGGGACGAGAAGAAGGCGGCTAACCGCCCTTTAAACCCTCCGCCTCGGCGGCTCTTCCGGACGGATTCGAGCTCGGTTGGAGGAGGTGGAGGCGGCGGCGGGCTCGACCGGGACTGGGGAGACAAAGTTCCTCCAAAATAGCAGCCACGAGTCGCCGCGGTGATGGGGGACTTCGCCTCCCCCGCCGTCGGACCCAACGGCAGTCTCTGCATCAACAGCGGCATGAACCCGGGCAGCGGAGCCGTGGTGCCCGCCGGAGCCGTGGGCACACCTAAGCACAGCACGGTGGTGGAGCGGCTGAGGCAGCGGATCGAGGGCTGCCGGAGACACCACACCATCTGCGAGACCCGGTACCAGCAAGCCCACTTCGAGCAGCTGGAGCTCGAGCGGAGGGAGACCGTCCACCTGTACCAGAGGACCCTGGAGCAAAGGGCCAAGAAGTCCGGCGGCAGCAAGCAGCCGCAGAGCAAGCAGCAGGACTCGGACTGTGCGCCCTCCACGGAGCAGAAGAACACGCGCATAGTGGTAAGGAGGAGCGGGGCTGAGGCCCCTTCAGTTGTATTAAGCTGCACAGCTACGATCACCATCAACAGGGTGAACTTGTTGACACTCGGCAGTGGCGGATCAAAATATTTTTCCTCAGGGTGGCAAAGTTTGGGCATGAGGTTCCAGCAATTGTTGGGGGGGGGGCGGGGGGGGGATTTACTGTTGGCAGGAAAAGTTTAACTTTTGGACTTTAAATTTGTACATTCAGGTTATTTGTCCGAGATTACAGATTACATGAAACAACACGTAACCTGAATGCTAATTAAGCAAGCTTAATCGGTTAGCTGGGTGGGCGTGGTTGGGCAGCTGGGTGGGCGTGGCTTACACTCAGTTTTAAGCAACGGTTCAGTAGAAAGCACCAGTGGCTAAGCTGGCTGAAACACGTGACTGATGTAAACAAAACAAAGTTTGTTTTCGCTGCCAAAATCCAAATGGGATGAACGAAGTCAGCGATTCAGCTGAATATGAACGATCACAGACTTGGGTGATTGCTGGTATTGCATTACTCGGTCGTGACACCTACCGCTGGCCGTGGTATTGCTCTCCATTCAGGAGGCTCCTTCCTTCCTGTCCCATCTTCATTTCTATCCAGTGCATTGCTTGGCTGACTCCAAAGAAATGCACCTTTTTAGTCAAAAAGTTGTATCGTTTCTTTGATGGTTGGCAGCAGTGTTGCCAAATCTTGCAGAAGAAACCAGCAACCATTTATTTTCTTAACCGCTTTTCCGCTCTGGGTCACAGGATCCCCATCCAGCGGTGATTGGACGAGGGGTGGGGTACACTCTGGACAGGTCACGAGAAAGACAACCGTTCACATGAACACACCAAGTGACAATGTAGAGTGGCTAATTAACCTATCGTGCATGTTTTTTGTAGAAAACCAAAGTGCTTGAAGAAGACCGGTGTGTGCACATGTAAACTCCATACAAGAAGGTCGCAGCCGGGTTGTGAACCTGCAACTTTATCGCTGTGAGGCGACCCACCCTCACTACCTCATGATAAAGGATGGACAGTCCTCTTAATTTATATATATATATATCATTAAATTTATTAAGTATTTATCGCAAAATTGTTTTAAAGAACACGGTTATTTTACTTTTTTAGGTCTGCCAACACTTTTCACTTATCGGTCGTGTGAATCAGTTTAGTGTTACCTAATAAAACGGAGTATTTGCTAATCAGAGACGGAGTGGGACAGGTTGTGCATGTAACCCTGCTGTGGTTGATGGACGCAGCAACCAGACCGTTTTTCTTTAGCGGACAGACGTGACGGACAACAAGCCTAAATAAGCAACTACACTTTCTAAACGAGCACCCTAAACTGTGTCAAGTACATATATATATATATATTTTAGTGAATTTACAGAAATAATGAGCAGAATTGGTTTTGAAACTTGTCTCCTGGTGAAATTTCCAGTTTTGTTGGTGGGTAAAACCATTTTGGAATTCAAAAGGTGGGGCACAAACTCTACATTGGTGATAATAAAGTTCTGTGGAAATGTCTTTTGACTTGCGTTTTGCAAAATGTACAAAAACATATAAACTAGCCAACAAATAGGGTGCCAAGATGGTGTTTTTTTTTTTTTTCCAAGGGCAGCTGCCACTTATTGCCACCCTCTAGAACAGCCCCTGAGCCCCACTCCCTACATTGCACTTGTAAAAACACACGTTGCCAGCTAAAGCGAATGCTGCTGTTTGGAAATGACAGCTGACGTTTTGGCAAAACCGAACGCGCACAACAGCGGAAGTCCTGGAGGTTTTTGGGGAGGCAGGGCTAACTGTGAGGTTCTGATTTGTGCGCTCAGAAAGTTGTAACCAACGTCTGGAGGTGGTGGTGGGGCTGACACAATGCACGAGAAGAACTTCTCCTTTTCTTGCTCTTTGCAATCGGCTGGAAGTTGTTCTGCAAGACGGGTTAGCAGCAGCAGCAGCGTTGCAACACTTTGCTTCCTTGCTCTGAAAAGCTGCAGCAGTTTATGCCCCTGTAACCTTTGTAACATACTTCTAAAATCAACAGTCGGTGCCCACAGGGCTGCAAACACTTACTAACAGCTGCCTTTTTGCTGAACGTAACCGTCCTTCGGAGGTGAAAACGGTTCTTATTAAGCTGGAAATCTCCTTTTTCTTTAAATGACATCTAGAGCTTAATTAAAAATAATCTAAAAAAACCCTGCACATTCGTTTAAAGATCGTGCACTTTTTCCTTCAAGTAATGCAAACGCTATAATTCCAGTTAGAATGCTACAATGATTTCCTGTTGATAGGGGGCAGTGGTAACATATGGAGAACTGCTGAATCTATTTCGTCCCATCAGGATCTTGGTTTACTACCGATCTCGTCTTGAAGGATCAGATTTGATTTTGGCGTTTGGTCGTAGCGACTTTGCATCAAAGGCACTGAGACAGACGGCAGTAAACTGTTCCCTGTTCACACCACATCCCCTGTGGGCCGTCTCCGGTTTCCCTTTAGAAAACACTAAAGGATACATGTTGGGGAATGTCAACATTGTTATCCCTTTTGTTGCTGCAACGAGCCCAGTTCCCTTGCCCACCTTTTGAAATGCTAAAATAAGAGCGTCTTTAATTTTTGAAGGCTGCCGCTGTGGTTATTTAAGAGCTGCGCAGGATGGACGGGTTCTAGCTTTAGAGAGAGGCAGTAATTTATTTTTTTAATAGTGCAAGGAGCTCCCAGCAGCTCTTGTGGACCTAATACCGATCCGCCCATTAGATGGCCGGCAACAAATGCTCCAAGAATGGAGGGATTACGGCTTAAAGACAGTGGCATCCATCCGCTCTGCTCCTTTTTACCCACAGATGGTGCCTGAACTGCCTGTTAGTATGCTACGTTGTAGATGTGTAGGTATGGATTGTTAGGGCTGCAAATCCCCCTCCTGGTTTCCCTCAGAAGAACAGAGCTGCAGCTAGATGGCTGTATGTAGTCACTTCAGAAGCAGGCGTCCTAGGAAGTAGTATCGGCACACAGACGTGCGCACAAAAACTCCCAGGAGGGTGAAATCTGGAGGGTCTGCGCTACAGACTGCGCTTTGAAGCACGCAGCGTGGAAAAGGTGTGCTCGAATGCAGCTTAACCCACACCTAATGAGAGCAGCAGCAGGTTCGATGGCTGGAGACGCAAAGTTCACAGCGTGAGGCTGAAATTGCACTTCGGCTGTGAAATACACGCGATTTATGAGTCGTTGGCTTTCTGTGTCGATAATTGTCAGAAATTTCAACAAGGTGCGAAGAGGAAACGCATGGAACGTGTGAAAATTTGTGTTTTTTTAACAGAGTTGTACGGTGGATCAGCTTCCAACACAAACTGCAATTCAAACGTTCATACGTCAAAATGTTCAGCTCATTTACAAGATGGCTGCTAAGGCTTTTGTAACTTTGATACTTTTCAAATTATTCAACTTTATTTGCAAATATATTCTCCACAGAAGTAACCGAGTTCCCTTCAGTTCTTCCAGAAACGTCGTTCCATTTGCATACTTGCACCATTTTTTGTTTTCCACTTACTTTTGGTTTTTAGCTACCATTCTGCTACTTTTTGCTATTAGCTAGTCTTTTGCTGCTGTAGATTTTAGCTGAAGTTTGCTATTGTTCTAGTACTTTAAGCTTCTAGCTAGCCATTTGGATCGTTTAACTCCAAGCTAACGACTTCTGATTTCTGCTTTTAGTTTGTTTGCTAATGATGATGTTTAGCTAGCCTTTTGCTACTTGTAGTTTTTAGCCATCAGCCTTCTACTGTTCCATTACTTCTGTTCTTACCTTTTAGTGTTTTTACATCTTGGCTAACTTTTTGCTGCTTTTAGTTTCTGGTCTGCTACTTATAGCATTTAGCTATCCTTTTTCTATTTTTAGTTTCTGTCTATTGTTTTTCTACTGTTTCTTTTAGCTTCTAGTTAGCTTTTTGCTATTTTTAGTTTAACTTCCATTCTGCTCTTTTTTGCTATGAACTAGCCTCTTGCTGCTTTTAGATTTTAGCTACAGTTCTTTTATTGTTCTGGTACTTTTAGCTTCTAGCTAACCTTTTAGATCATTTAACTAACTGCTGCTAATTGGCACTTTTCGCTTCTGTTTAGCTACTTTTTGCGTTTTACTAGCCTTTTGCTACTTTTAATGTTTAGCTGTCGTCCTTCTGTTACTTTTCGCTACTAGCCACCCTTTTAGTACTTTTAACTCTTAGCTAACATTTAACTGCTTTTTGTTTATGTTGTACTACTTATAGTTTTTTAGCTAGCCATCTATTCTTGGCTTTTAATGAACCTCTTGGTACTTTTAACTATTAGCTTACATTTAGCTACTTTTTAGTTTTTAGCTGTCATCCTTATACTATTCTGCAAATTGTAGCTACTAGCTAGCCTTTTAGTAAATTAATGCAGCTAGCTTTGCTGATTTTAGTTTCTGTTCCGCTACTAATAGCGTTTTGCTAGCATTTTGCTACTTTTAGTTTAGCTTCCATTCTGCTACCTTTTTGCTATTAGCTAGCCTCTTGCTATTTTTACATTTTAGCTGCAGTTCTTTTATGGTTCTGGTACTTTTAGCTTCTAGCTAGCTTTTTAGATCATGTAACTCCAAGCTAACTGTTGCTAATTGGTGCTTTTTGTTTCTGTTCTGCTACTAGTAGCATTTAGCTACTTTTAGTTTTTAGCTATGGTTTTCTACTTTTCTGTTACTTTTAGCTCCTCGTTAGCCAATTAGCTACAGTACTTTTATCTACTGTTCTGCTATATTTTTAACTTTATGTAGCCTCTTGGTACTTTGAACTTTAAAGGTTTCTTCCTGATGAGGGAGTTTTTCCTTTCCACTGTCGCCTTCGTGCTTGCTCAAGATGAGAGTTCTGCGATGGAGTTAAACTCAAAGCAGTCTGCTCCTCAGTTAAATAGTGTAAACTTATTATTTCTGTATGAATGTTTCAGTTCAGTGCCCTGAGACGGCTTATGTTGGCGCTATATAAATAAACTGAATTGAACTGTTA